CTAGAACACATAGGCTAGCAAAATGAATGGAGGGTTTTCTGAGACTCTTAGGTAGACTTCGAGAAAGCAGAATAAGAATATTTCCAGGAGTAACTTGGGAATCTAAGAAACAGTCATAAGAAGTGCTAAATTGGAGGAATCTCTTTCCTAAGGAAGAGAAGAGGCATAAGATACTGTGAAGATTAAGACTTGGGTGCCAAGCCAGGTGGTGGTGGCACACACCTTTGATCCCAGCACTCAGGAGGCAGAGGCAGGTGGATCTCTGTGATTTTGAGACCAGCCTGGTCTGCAGAGCTAGTTCCAGGACAGGCACCAAAACTACAGAGAAACCTTGTCTCAAAAAAAAAAAAAAAAGACTTGGGTGCCCAGGTTATACACCGACTGTGTCAAGGTTACTAACTATGGACCTTCCACTATTGTCCCCAAGAGTCTGAGCATCACTTCAGCATTAATCACTCCAACTATTAATAATCCAACAGAGAAAAAACCCATCAACACTCCAAGGCTTTGCTCTGTCATAATCCCCATTACCAGTGCTTCCCAGCCCAGCTTACAATGCCCAAAGAGAAAGGGACCTTGTAAATCCAGAGAGTGCCATGGGGGGGGGCAGTCGTGAGGAAAGGCATGCCCCACAGCTGCATCTAGAAGGCCAAAACTAAAAAGCTTAAAACCTCTAGAATGAAGGCAATGGTTACATTAAAATTGTAGTCTCGTTTCAAAAATGTTTTATTGTTTGATAAAGACTCAGGACCTTTAAGTTTTTCCTAGTTTCTTTCATAAATGGATAAAGGGATTTACTTTTGCCAATTTATAAAATGTATTAAGTCACCTAAGTCTGAAGCTGTGATATGTGTATTAATTATGTATGTTTGTATGTAGCTTGAGTTTTCCTGACTGGCCCACAGTCAGGACAAATCTCTGACACCCGCCAGTCCCACAGCCACTCAGACCCAACCAAGTAAACACAGAGACTTATATTGGTTACAAACTGTATGGCCATGGCAGGCTTCTTGCTAACTGTTCTTACAGCTTAAATTAATCCATTTCCATTAATCTATACCTTGCCACATGGCTTGTGGCTTACCGGCAACTTCACATGCTGCTTGTCATGATGGCGGCTGGCAGTGTCTCTCTGACTCAGCCTTCCACTTCCCAGCTCTATTCTCCTCCTTGTCCCGCCTATACTTCCTGCCTGGCCACGGGCCAATCAGTGATTTATTTATTGACCAATCAGCAACACATTTGACATACAGACTATCCCACAGCATTTGTATTTTTGCAAAATGCAGTAGTAGATAAAAAAAAAATAACCAAGCCAGCAAGATGGCTGAGCTGGTTAAGGCACTTACTGTGCAAGCCTGGTGACCTGACTTCAATTCTTGGAACTCACAAGTGGAAAGAGAGAACTCATTCCACAAAGTTGTCCTTTGACGTCCATATGTACACTGTGGCAAGCACACCCACATGTTATTCACATACATGAACACAGTAATAGTAATAAGTAAAATTAATAATTAATAAAAAATCCAACCAACAGAGAAGACAGTTTCAGACTCATAAATGAGACGAAGGACAACTGACAGTATTTCGTGTAACTGTGACCATTTGAAACATCACTGCATTTTTTTAATTTTTTAATTTTTTTTGGAAAAGGTATCACTATGTAGCTCTTGCTCCTGGAACTCAGAGATCTGCCCACCTCTGCCTCACATGTCCTGGGATTAAAGGCAGGTGCCACTGTGCTGATCTTGACCTCATATGTTTTTATTCCAATAGACACGAAAAATTTGAAAAGTGAAAGTTTTTTTTTATTCCTTTTCTTTGCTTTGGCTTGGTTCTCTGTGCTAGCTTTTTTAGTCTTGAACTGATGCTATCAGGGTAGATGGACAGACCGGCTAAAAGTATATGAGCAGTAACAAGGAAAGAGGACGGTACAGAAAGAGTGAGATAATGTCGGATTAAAGACCCTCCAGGAACATTCCCACCCCCAACTCAATAGAGCAAGAGATCTATCATAAAAGAGGCAGCACCCCCTTCCCACCAGCCTGAAACCTAATTACATTTCAAAGTATGACGGGACATGAAAGAAACAAAGCATCAATGGTGTGCTTACCAGATGGCATCTCTAAATATAGGAATATATACCCCTCTGCTTGTTCCACAACTAGAGATGAAAGGGACAGCAACAATAGCTCCCTATTCCAATCACGGACAAATGAAAGAACACTGTGATTAGGTTGGGAAGGATCTGGCTCAATCTAATAGTGATCATGAATCCAGGAGAGAGGCCAACTCCTAGCCTGCATGTAGGAATCCATTCCCCATCACCTACCTGTTGTGATGATAGTCATTCATTTGGAGACAGAGAGCAGGATATGGCACTCAGAAATCTGAGAAAAGCTAAAGAAATGCTTTTAAAAAATCCCACCATGGCTGGTGCTCTTGTTTGGTATCTGTTACTGTGACAATGACCAAAAGCAAGTCGGAGAACAAAGGGTTTGTTTCAGCTTCACTTCCAGGTCACAGTCCATCCTCAAGGAAGTCAGGGCAGGACCTCAAGCAGAAACCATGAAGGAATGCTGCTTACGGGGGCTTGCTTCTGGGTTCACGCTTAGCCAGCCCAAGATCACCTTCCCAGGGAATGGTACCACACACAGTGGTCTGGGCCCTTCTAATCAATTAGCAATCAAGACCATCTCCCACAGACATGCTCACAGGCCAATGGTATCCAAGCAATTCCTCAGCTGAGTTTCCCTCTTCCCAGGTGACCCTCTAGCTTGTGTCAAGCTGACAAGAAAAACTAACTGGGATAGTTAGGGTATTTCTTGGCCTTATTTTTGTAGGTCAGGGTTTGACTGTGGGTATGATTAAGAACATGAGCCCTGGTGTGACACACGTGTGAGCCCAAGCTCTACCAGTGAGTGCTGGATTATACTGAGACAAGTTGCTGGGCAATGGTGGCACATGCCTTTAATCCCAGCACTTGGGAGGCAGAGACAGGTGGATCTCTGTGAGTTTGAGGCCAGCCTGGTCTACAGAGTGAGTTCTAGGATAGGCTCCAAAGCTACACAGAGAAACCCTGTCTTGAAACAAACAACAAACAAACAAACAAACAAACAAACAAAAAAGAGAGACAAGTTCCTTATCCAGATAAGCTAAGTTGCCAAGCATAGGTAGCCACAGTTAAGTCATGGGTATTTATTTATGTCAGGGTTCAGCACCTTGTAAGTACTACATAGACAGGCTGCTTATTAACAAGAATAAAGGTTATATTAATAACAGCCACTGAATCATCCTGTTCTTGATGATTTGTCTCACTGTTTCAAGGTGGATCACAGCTAGGCTCTGCAGGAGTGACTGGAGTTCTAGGTGTAACTGACTGCTCTCTTCCTGCCTGGCTCCTGAGTGCTCTCTAGACCTGCTGAAAAGAGGCAGGCAGGTCCAGAGACAACGGTGCGTTTACCTTGGGCTGTCAGAGCAGAGCTGGCTCCTTCACTCTCATTTCTCCCAGCAGCAAATCCATGGGATACAGAGAACTGACTCCAGTTCTTTTTAATCTAGCTAGTTAGTAGCTACAATGGGCATGTAGTTGCCTTCCCACTGACAGCACTGGTACAAAACCCTGATAGCGACAAGCATATCCTAGCAACCAGGAATTGCTACTAAGCAGGCTTGTCACTCAGGAGCAGGGCAAATACTATAAAAAATAAGATACAATTTGTAATTGCTTAAATATGGTATATATTATCATGTAGTTTAGTTCCATAAACTCCCCCGGGGTTTTTTTATCCAATTTTGCATGAAGAAAGAGACACTTGCTGGGGCAGCAGTCTTATTATTAAAAGTTAGTTATGTTTAATATTTATGCAAGTGTTAATTTCATATTTTTGCATATCACTAGAATTAGAATAAAATAACAAATCTTATTTTACTATTTCAACCATTTCTAAAGGCACAGTGCCATGTTATTAAATAACTCAACAACTCTTTTCCTCACTACTGTCCACTTCCAGAAAGGAGTCAACACCCCAAATAGAAGCTCTTCACTGATTAACATTGCCCACCCTCCACTGTGGTCCACCCTAGTAAGGCAAGCGTTCTTCTACCATCTGTCTTCATAAATTTGTTCATTCCAGATAAGACAAACGAATGGAGTCGGTTATGTTTGACCCTTTCTATCTGGCTCATTTAACCAACACAGTGTTTTCAAAGTCAATCTATTTTGCACAGGAATCAGAATTCCACCCTTGTTAGGACTGATGGGTACTACAGATGCACATATACCAAGCATCCTGTTCATCCATCCGTGTGGAGATGGGTGTGGGGGTTGTTGTAGCCTTTGTGGACTGTGAATACCACTTCGGATATAGGTGTGGGAGCCTATGTCTTGAGTCCCTGATTTCCTATCTTTAGGAAGGGATGTATCCAGAAGTAGAAGTTGTGGTTCATATAATTCCACATTACTTCCTGCTCCCATCGGCCATGCGCAACAATCCTCAGCTTGTACTCATTCCCACCCATCACTGCCCACATTTTTGGTAACAGCCATGCCAAGGAATGTGAAGGCCGAGCTCATTAAAATTAGATCTGTCTGTTAACTATTAGAAAAAGAAAAACAAAATAAAGACACAAGAAATAAGTTATTATATGGCTGGCTCATCCCGTATGCAAAAAGCTACGAACATCTGGTGTAAGCCTCAAAGTGGATGGTTATAAAAAAAAAAATGTGATTATATCTGTAAAATTTTGAAGCTAGTAATATTCTCCAAATGGGGTGATCCTGTGCTTTAGAATTACAGTTTAAAACCTGCAGCAAATTCTCGGGACAGGAGTCTATTCTCGGTGATTACAATAGCGAAGCCTGACCCTAAAGGGTTGCAATTCTCAGCCCAAGGAAACGCTGCTCACTCCCAACCTCAGGTTAAGGAGCAGGAGGCCTTCCTCGGCGCCTGCGCAAACCCATGCTTGTGCTGCGCGCCTGCGTGCGCGGTCCCGCGACGTCGAGGGGCGTGGCCGCGCGACTTGGCTCTTGGTTCCGCCATGGCTGTCGCACCCGGTGCGGTTCACCTGCAGCGTTGTGTGGTGTCGCCGGCCGGGAGACACACTGCTTCGCTGATTTTCCTGCACGGCTCAGGTGCATGCATTGCAGTCTCGTGGTCTCCGTCCCGCGTGCTGCCGCTGGGGAAGCACCCTCTCCTCCGTCCCCCAGCTCCCTAGTGCTGTTACAGGCTTCCTGCGCCCAGGGTCGGGAGGGAGCCTGCCACCTCCTGGGAGGGTGTCTTCTTTCTCTAGGGTGCTGTCTTCATCTCGCTTCCTTCGCTGGTGTCCTTGACCCTTCCAACCACAGCATAGTCTTCAGGGCAGTCAGTCCTTACCCCACCCCAAGTTCAGGCACACCACCATAGCAATGTGAGTCTCCAGGCACATGGATTAACTACTGTTTTCACGGTCGGCCACCAGTGATCTGACATAAACCCACCACCATCACCACCACTCCCAACCCCTGGAGCGAGTCATGAGCCTCTGTCTGCCTTTCCAGGATCATAGGGAGGCTTGATCTTCACAGTGAACTGGGTTCATATTTACGGCCTGTGTTCTTTATGCTTGGCACCACCAGGGCTCCCATGCGCTTCCCACCTGTCCTTTTTAATGTTCCTCCTCCCTGATTTCTCTTTTTGCACTCTGTCATTAAATCTCTGAGGTAAGTACAAAATCATCTCCGTCCAGGGAGTGCCCCTAGAGAGAGAATAAGAACCCTGTTTTAATCCTTGCATCCACGGTGCTTGGCTGGCTCAGGGTAAGTTCCCAGGAAAGAAAAATAATTTTTTTCTTCTCTCTCTCTCTCTCTCTCTCTCTCTCTCTCTCTCTCTCTCTCTCTCTCTCTCTCTCTCTCTCTCTCTCTCTCTCTCTCTCTCAGAAATGAGATCCAGCGGGTGTCCTCAGGGGGCCTACCTAAATTCAAAAACAAAAACAGTTCATTAATTTGAGTCAGCAGTGAACAGGGGGTCACAAGATGGTGCCTGAGCTACTGCCAAGTGAATAGTAAGGAAAAGGAAAGAATGTGGTTGGACATTAGTAAGGCCTTTGCAACTGAAGGGCTTGTCAGAGTTGTCCAAGCACGCCTTGTTTGAGCTGAGACACGTGTGCGCTTAAAGGGAATGGAGACTAGAACACCGAAGGGATTGGAAGGAGTGTTAGCAACAATGTGAGACGTTCTCTTCATTTTGAAAACGGGGCTAGACAAGTTTACTTGCTGTCGCTGTGAGTGGTGGGGGAAGCTGGGATTTAAACACAGATGTCTGATTCAGAATTAATACTCTGGGTGGGAGAGGCAGGGGAACCCCAAACTATGATGTATCACTTTGGAAACAGAAGATAAGGGTTGAGCATGTGTAAAAGGGAAAGACGTGGCTGACGACTTAGGGCTGTATAACTAGCTGAATAGTGGTTATTCAGGACCCCAGGAGCCTTCTGTGATGAACATCCAGAATTCCCACATAGTAATTCCTTCTCATAATTAATTCAGTGTCTTTATAAAGAACTAGAATTGGTTCTTCTTCTTTTTTTTTTTTTTTCACCCTCTGGACCACTTTGCTTAATGCTTCCTGTTTTTCAATTTCAAATCACTGACATTTTTATAACCTATAATGCATGTCTGACATCACAGTCATCCACTCTGTGTGTATTTTACACAGCGTGTACGCACGTGTGTGTGTGTGTGTGTGTGTGTGTGTGTGTGTGTGTGTGTAAAACTTTGTACACTGGAAAAAGAATTCATCTAAATAATTCTTCCAGATGTTCAGGTATATTATTCTTACCTAATTAAGTCTCCATTGATATATAAAGTGCTCTTTTTGGAATAGGCCTGTCCTGTTAGTTTTTATTGTCATCTTGAACCAGGAGTCCCCTGGGAAACGAGAGTCTCAACTGAGACGTTGCCCAGTTCAGATTGGCCTGTGGCTGTGTCTATAGTGAATGGCTTTGATTGTTGATTGATACAGGAGGCCCCAGCCCACGGTTGCTACCCCTGGGCAGGTGTCCTGGGTCCTACTAAAAAGCTGGTTGAGCATGAGCCGCAGGGCCGAGCTGGTATCAACTTTGCCCTGTGGTTCCTCGCTCTGTTCCTGCTCAAGTGCCTGTCCTGACTTCCCTTGCTGATGGACTATTGGCCAGAAGAGTAAGTTGAAATAAACCCTTTCCTCCCAAGTTGGCCTAGGTCAGTGTTTTATCACGGCAACAGAAAGCAAAGGAGAAGGAGGCCTTGGCCCTCCAGGTTGGAGGGTAACAACCACTGGACTTGAGCATGTGTTTGTGTTGGAACAGGAAGTATTTGCCTTCTGGGTAATCCAAATATAAATAAACCAATTATATGGTTTTACCATGGTTTTGGAATAAGGTACTACTAACTTTTTGTGTCATTTAAATTTTTTTTTCTTGAGAATTTCATACATGTATACAATGGGTACAAGCTTTTTAAAAAGAGAATTTTGTGAGTAGACGGACAAATGTTGTTTTCTAACATTCGATTGTTTCTTTCGCCCAAGACTGAAAAAGTATTTAAAAACCGACCCCATTTAATAAAGAAAAACAACCTAAAAAGCTTTAGAATCTGGTCTAGAGTATAACAGCTGTAGGAAAATATATGGGAATATGCCCCAAGTGTATTTGAACCCTTTTCTACTTATAAAATGCCTATTTTTTTTTAAGATACTGTTTAGGATGATTAAAATAAATGTTAGTGTGGCTTGCTTGCTGTGTTTGTTTCCAACACCCAGGGAAAAACTGGGCATTACTGCATGTGCCTGAGACCCCAGCACTAGGGGAGACAGGAGGGTCTCTGGGGCTTGCTGAACAGCCAACCTACAAGCAAATCCTATGAGCCCTGTGTCAAGGGGTAAGGCAGAAAGTTATGTAGCAGGACACCCAATGTCTTCTGACATCTGCACATTTACATGGGCCTGGGCCATTACACACACACACACACACACACACACACACACACACACACACACAGAGGCCCACAGAGGCTATCTTATGAGAACTTACTCAGGGTCAGAGAATCTGAGCTTGCTTTACCCAGCAGGGCTGCATAAGGAGATATTTTGCCACAGGCATGTTTACCAGGTGTTTGGAAGAATCTACACTTAGCTGTATGATGTGTTTTGATCTTACAAGGGGAAGGTCTTTTGCCTCTCCCCTTGGAATATTATAAAAAACTTTTTGAATATAGCTCTGGGTGACCGAGTATTGACCCAGACCCTCGAGAAGCTATCCTGTGTCTCTGTCTTTCTCCTCGTCATCTAGGTCTGTCTTTCTGTCTAATATTTCCTCATTTCTCTCTCCTTCACCCAAGAACCCTTTGTAAGGTGGTAGCAGGTCAGAGCTGGACTCCAGCAGACCTCCCCCCCCCCAGACATACACACACACACACACAGACACACAGACACACATGCACATACACACACATATACACAGACACACACACATGCACACACATACATAAACAACAGAGACATGAACAGAAAGATAGATAAAAATTTAAAGTTGTGAACTTTAACATTTTCTCTTCAGTAATATATGACACACTTAGATTCTTTCCCTGTCTCCATGCAGATAGCCATACATCAATTCTTATACTTATTTTTTGACCTTGAGTAGTATATAATCATGATGCTAGGTTATATAAATGTGTCAACACACTTAAAATCTGATTTCTTCAAGTTTAAATTTGAAGTAGAATAAATATCTTACCCCACCCCCAGACTTGTTTTCACCAAGAAAATTGTATTAGGTCATGTCAGCTACAGTGGTGTAAATCACTTGGCAGTTTTTAAAGTGTAGATGGGAAAAGAATAGTGTTAGAAAACAGCTAAACATAATTCCCCACTAGAAGAATTTATTATATCTATTATAAGTGAGGAAAGCTGAAATTCAAGCTTGAGTATGGTATTCTAACTGATAAACAATACATCTGGATGTATAATAATAAGGATTATTTCTACTGTTCTTACTTGCTCAACTAATTCTGCCTGCTGAATCTAAACAGCTCTTTTTGGCATGTAGAGATTTTTCACATTCTATATTCCAGCCTTCGTGTGACCTGAGAGGTACAGAGTACTTTGAAATGCAGTGTGTTATGAAGATGTTTATTTGACTGTGAATTTTGTAATTTTTCAGGTCATTCTGGCCAAGGACAGAGAGAGTGGATCAGCAATGTGCTAAACCAGGACTTAACATTCCAGCACATAAAGATTATTTACCCAACGGCCCCCTCCAGGTATGCAATGCTCAATTTCCCTTCTCGGTATAACTCCAGGGCATAAAATAGATGTATGTGCCAGTGAGATGTTTTTAACTTTAACTCTGGATTGAAGATATTTTAAATACAACTCCCACCTGTAAAAATGAATGCTTTACTTTGAAGTTAGGCTCCTTGGCCAAGCTTTCCCGGCCTCTCTGGGAAGCATGCGCTGCCACTCAGACCGACCCCTTCCCAGCCCACACTCTGCTTCCTGCCAGCCTGCACAGTGCTCATCTCCTCTTTATCTCACACACCCCAACAGCAAACTTAATAACTTCTGCCAAGATAGTCTTTCTGATAATTTAGTTCAACCCAGGTTCATAGTTCCTAGAAAAGAGTTATACCATTCTTTCTAAGCTTCAGGAGGTTAAATACTGTCAGGCCCTTTGAGTCAGTCAACCAAGATAGACATGAGGCCTACTTACTGTTACGGCTTTTTAAAAAAGATTTGTTTATGTTATGTGTATGCGTGTGTGTGCATGTGTATCTGTGTGCCACATGCATGCCTGGTGCCCTCAGAGGTCAGAAAAGGGAGCTGAATTTCCTGTAACTGGAATTATGGATGATTGTGAGCACCATGTGGGTGCTGGGAATCGAATTCGGGTCCTCTGCAAGAACAGCAAGTGCTCTTAACCACTGAGCCATCTCTTCAGACCCCTGGCTTTTTATGTTTATTAAATAATCATTCACATAGTCTTTTTTTCCAACTTTTTTTGCATAAACAAATGTTGTGTTGTGTCATACAACCCAGTCTTTCTCATGATCTGTTCTCATGTTTTTTCCTTAAGCATGCTTTGTTTTCACAAAAAAAAGCTAGACTTTCATTTTTCTGTCAACCTTGTATTCACAAGAAAATGAACCAGGATTTCAAGAAACTTCTTATATTCACCAATAAGAGCTTATTTCTCTAGTCGATAGAATTGAACAGTTATAGAACAAAAAGGAGAGTATAAAATAGAAGATTTAAAAGTTATTTTAATACAACTAAGCTTAGGGGTTTAGTAGCACCCACAGAGAACTTTTAGGGATGGGTACTAAGAGCATGTTGTTTGTAACTGGTTTCCAGGGCAGGTGCAATTTGAAGGGAGTACTGATACTTCTGTGGAAACTGGAAGGATGGTGTGTTTTAGGCTAATTGTAAATATGATTAACTAAGACATTCGAGACATGATTCCAAGAATGTAATAGGTTTTATCTCTGGCTAAGAATTTAATGATTATCATCCCTTGACTTTCACATATTATCAATTGTAACATGAATTCTAGGTCAGTGTTTTTCAAATTTTAAACCGATAGTATTTCATATTTACATATCTTCACATGCATTCTGTGTCATTTGTAGGTGTTTGGAAGTGTTTGTCCCTCTAGGTTTGTATTATGTCTTCTTTAAATGTTTTATAGCACTTAGTGAAGTCACCTGAACTTGAAGTTTTCTTTTGAGTTGTTGGCAATTAATTTATTTTCTTTTATACAACCAAGATTTCCAGATTTTCTATGTATTTTCAAGCCAGTATCAGTGATTTAGTGGAATTTGTCTTTGACCTCATGTACTTATTTTTAATGATTAGATTTCTGTTTATATATTTTATTTCAGTTCTGACAATAATATTATTATTACTTGTGTGTGTGTGTGTGTGTGTGTGTGTGTGTGTGTGTGTGTGTGTGTGTGTGTGTGTGTTTTGTCTTATCAAGGGGTACTGGTTGTTGACTCTTTTTTAGAACCAATTTAGGCTTGGCTTTTTTCTCTGTTTGGTTGTAGTTTGGATACAGAGTCTCACTATGTAGCCCAGGCTGGCCTAGAACTCATGATCATTCTGTCTCTGTCTCCTAAGTGCTAGGATTACAGGTGTTCACCACACCCAGCACCTTTTTCTCTCTTAACTTTTCATTTATATCCATTAATTTTCTTTTTCCCTTCTATTTATATTAGAGCAGTAATTTTAGCACTACTCTAGCCAAATCTCACCATGGTTTTTTTTTTTTTTCTGTTTTATTTATATTGGAAGATTTTCTATCACATTCATGTTCCTTGTATAATACTTGCATAACAAATCACCCCCAAGCAACACTTTTATTATGGTCACAAATTTTGTGGGTTAGGAACTCAGAAAGGGCACAATAGTGGTGACTCAATCCCAATTCTGTTGTTTTTGGGGCTTCTCCTGGGAAAGCTTGAAGGTTGGGTGTGACTTACGATTTGTCTGCTGGGGACTGGATCCTTCATCTGAAGGCTTACTCACATAGCTGGCAGTTGATACGGGATATTAGCTGGGGCTTCCTACAATCTCTGCACGCCTATATTGGGCTTCACCATTTGGAGTTCGTTTTATATATATATATATATATATTGAGTGTGTGTATGTGTGTGTGCATGCTGATCCATGTGCACATGAAGGCCAGAGGTTGAAGTCAGTAGTCTTTTTCTGTTGCTCTCCACCTTGTTTTTTGAGACAAAAATCTCTCACCAAACCTGGAGCTCCCCAATCTAGCGAGACTGGCAGGCCAGCAGGCTCCAGAGATCTAGCTCTCCTTTCTGACCTCTTGCCAACCCCCAGAAGAGTGCCAGCACTCCTGGCTTTTATGTTGGTGCTGAATTCAGATCCTCGTGTTTGCACGGGGCACATCTCCCCAGCCCACCCTTTGGAGTCCTGGAGGCTTCGGTTCCCAGCGGAGATATCCTCAGAGAACCAAGAAGTTAGCGGATGCAGAGCTCATGCAGAAGGCAACCAGGTCGCAAGTAAGGAGTGTAGGCCTTTGCCTCTCAGCAAATGTTAGTCACACTGTGGAAAGGGCTTGTGTGGTTACTGTTCTGACTAGATGCAACAAATGTAATTCCTGGACCTTCTATTTAGAAGTCTGTTAGTAATTTCCATGAATTGAGGGTTATTGAAGTTGTCTTATAGTTGCTGATTTCTAATTTCATTTCATTGCTGTCAGATAAAATATCCTATACAATCCCAGTCTTTGGATTCTCCCTGAGTCTTTATGGTGTTGCATGAATTCTATCATGGTGACTCTTCATGTGTATTTTTATGTGTAGCATTTAAAAAATACCAGTATAGTCCAAGGTGGCTGATAGCATTACTTACATTTTATATATGTTTGATAATTATTTTTAAGTAGTTCTAGGAGTCATGAGGGGAGGGCTTTAATAATTACCTTTTTCTTACAAAATGGTCACTCTTAACTTCTGATAACACCCCAAAGTGTAATTTGTATAATAATTATATACTGCACAGCAGCTTTCCTATACTTATTTTACAATTTTTTTATCACTTTATGTTACTTTGATTAGTGTTGCATAGCAAAACTCCAGCCTTTTATTTTTAGCTTATCTATCAATTATATTTAAAATGTGTTTGTTATAGACAACATGTGTTTGAGCTTTGCTTATATCTTTAGCCATTCTGACAGTTTCTGTCTTTTAAATGATTTGTTTAGCCATTTACATTTAATGTAACATTGGATTTATAGGCTTGAATATAAGTCTGTTGGATTTTTTTGTTCTCCTGTATTCAATTTTCTTCACTTTTTGCACCATTTAAATTTTTTAATATTTCAATTTAATTTTCTGTTCTTTTTTCCCTGATCGTGGTAAGGCTCAGTATAAATTACAGACCTTTCCCCATCTTAGAGTAAATATTTACCACTTTCACTGAATTTTATAACTTCAAAATACATAGTCCCCTTTCCTCTTCCCCTTTATGATTCTCATGTCTTTCATCTACATATGTTGAGAACACCATCAAGCAAGGTTATAATTTTGTTTTTTTGTAGTAATAAATGCAACAAAGAACCTAAGAGGGGTCAGTGGTTTATTATATTTGGTCAATGTAGAAAATACAATGGCATATCATTGTATTTTCACTAAATTGTGAATTACCCTTTTGTCTATAAGTACTCCTTTTCCTTTGCTATAAATTGGCTAAGCAGGAGTATATTAAATAAAAGTCAACAATAGTTTGCTGTGTTAATTAAAATGGAAAAATAGAATAGTATTTTTTTCATTATATTAATTTGGACTCACTCTTTAATTGGAAGTACCCAATAAATATTTTTATTTTTGTGGCATATTTTAACTGTGTTTACAACTACAGGTTTTCTTAGTTTGGATTTAATAACAGATTTTCCATTAAAAAATAACAATGTTTTATAGTCCATTTATAATTTTTTATGGTATAAATTCTCTTGGTGATTTGAAAAATTCTCAAACTCATCAGACTTGTGTATGCTTCTACATGTTGATTATACATTTTCCCACATAAAGTGAGTGCTTAGCATTTGCAGTAAATGTGTACTCTAAAGCAGATTTAGATACTTATTTTATGCATTTATATTTTTACATGTCCATATGGGGAGTGCACATATAAGGGGTATGCACATGGAGGCCAGAGGTCAATTGCTCATATACAGAGTGAGTAACAAAAGGTGAAGAAATACAATGTCAAGTAATGACGAATGCTATAAAGACTGTTAAAGTAACAAGACAGAGTCCGCATTACAGAATGGAGGCAACACCGCAGAGTAGGAGAAGGTCCTCTGAGATGGCAGCACTGGAGTTGAGACTGTGGGAGCTTAGCACAGAAAGACAGGAAGACCATGCAGAGAGAGGGAGACTGGATGCAATGCTCCTGTATCACTGCTGGGCTGGTCCAAGTGACTGGACCCTAGAGCATGCTGGGGGAAACTGAGAAACCAGGACCGAGAATGACTGGAGCCAGGTTGCTATCTGAAAGACTGCAGATGATCTTCTGGTTTTTACAATTTTAGGGGAACACAGACCAAAATAAAAATGGGTATTCAGCTGAATGCCTTTTTATTAAAAAAAAAAAAAAAAAAAGCTTTGGACATTTCCTCTGGGTTAATTCTTTACCAGTGTGTAATGGGTCGATTGGTTGATTGATTTAGGAGCCACACAGATGCTCTCTGCTGAACATATTTGTTTACTGTGGTAATGTCTGAGCTGTTTTTATACCAGCTAATAAAGTGATTTATTTGAGGAAGAAAGTGAATGAACATAACACATGTGCCAGGCCTTTTAGCTGTTTAAAAACAATCTTTTACACTTTAGTTAAAGGTTATTCTAACATCTTTGGAGATTTATGTACTCTTGATTGTTTTCTTAGCAAAAAAAAAAAGTTCTGAAGTCTTTTTATCCCATTAAATTATCCTAATGATTCTTTTTGAACAGAGAATTTTAATTTTTTTCTTAGAGAAATGAGAGACCAAAAACCTCCAGATGAGTAAATTGGGATTTGCATTGGGCTGTACCTCAGTGGAGCATCTATCTAGATTAATTAAATAAGGCATTGTCAAAGGGAAAAAGAGTAAAGTAAGTATCATTTTTTCCCATTAATGGCTGAGTTCCCAGAATGATTCACATCTTAGCCTATGATATCATCCTTATTTAAGTGCTTAGACAGACAAATAAACAGAGAAATAGCACAGGGAAACGGAGAGGGAAGCCGAAGTAACTCCAAGGGTGACAGTCTGATTGGAACTTCAGCGTGAGGGCTGTGCATCCACTCTGGAACTGGGCTTCAATAGCAGTCCCAATGAACTTGGGACTTCACGGTGTATGACAAAGACTTTGAACGAAGCACCTGCTTTCATTTGCTGTGCACTCAGGCTTAACCTTTAAAAGGCCTCTGGGAGGAGGAAGGCTTGGATGATTTCTGCCCTCTCATTGTACCTGAGCTCTCTCCCCTGAGCCAAGTAGCTGCTGGGGTCAGAAGGCACAGTGGGTGAGTGGGCAACTGAGAGGAGCTGCTGTGGGATTTCATCTTTCCCACAACAACTGAGGGGCTGACAGATGCATAGGTCAGCAGGGGAGCTGCCTTGAAGGAGTCAGAGAATTCGAGAGTTGTTTGAGCAATGGTTTTCCTGGTTTTCCCGAGCATGGTCCAGAATTAGGGCTTGTCTAGCAGGTTAAACATGAAGTCCCTTCACTGTGTACAGTGTGCGCCTTAGGGAGTAGGACTTCCACTTGTCTGAGAATGGTGCCTCTTCCTCCCAGCATCCTCCATCACTCCTTCTTTCCCTCTCTCCACACCTGTCCATATTAGAGAAAATGAATTTGAGCTTGAGTCATACCACACATGAAAAGGTTTCCCCAGAGTTTAAACTTTGAAAAGTAAAAATGGCAACACAAGCCACGGAAGGCACATTAGGTAAGGCTTTACTAGATAAGACTGTGTAAAACCCCCTGGGATTCGGAAAAAGCACTTAAATCAGGAAAGCCAGAAACTGAACTTTTAAATGAAGACATTTCAAATGCTTTCAGGTGTGGAATTCTTTTACTTGGTAAAAAGGGATACTTCGTAACGATGTAATCATATTTGAATTAAATTATAAAATAATTTAAAGGATACTATATAACTATGCAAACTACATTTAGAAAACACCACACTTGAAAACAGAAGGCAAGTGTTTGTCAGTAATAAACAAGCGCTCTTCTGAATTAATGAGAAAAACTAAACCATGATAGAAAAAAAATAGCTGATATTATCAGTCGTCATTTCCATTGATGTAATGACTTAGAATAGGCAAAGTTAATCAGCACTGATGGGAACAGTCAGTGTGGCCTGGGAAGTGTATCTGAATTATCTGAAAGGGTCTGAGGGGGTGTCTCGGGAAAGGGGTGGTTGCCGTGTCAAAAGCATTTGAACTTTGAGGTTAAAACTGAGCAGGGTTTTATATGTTAGCCCATAATTTAGTCAATACACTCAACTGAGCCATGTTAGTACCTAGTACCTCCACCGGTACCTGTTTCTACAGGTGCTGTGGGGAAAGGTAGTCTTCCTTGTGGTAGAATGGTGGATTTTTACCACCTCCATTTTATGGAGGCAACTTTGAAACATGTATTAAGGTAAAAACTGCACCTTCCAATCCAGCAATATGATTCTTGGTTTCTGTTCCATAAGAATAATAGTCCCGCTACACACAAAAAAATGCATCTGTATTAAATATATATATATATATATATATATATATATATATATATATATGTATGTATGAATGTTTAATGTCACCCTGTTCACAGGGCCTAGAATGTAGGTACCAAGTAAGCAATCATCAGGGGAGAATGGGAGATTCAATTGTAAAGTAGCTTTTCATCTGTGAACATAAGAAATTTTATTTATATAATTATTCATAGGGAAGGAGGCTGGTAGGGATGGCAGGGAGCTGGGAATGGGACCAAAATTCACAGAGACACACAGAAAGAACAGCATTCACTGATGAAAAGGTGCGTAGTGAGGACCATTCAGGTGGAGCTCTGTGAGGCTGTGGAGAAGAGCATGCATACATCTGAGAAGCAGAATGTGTTTTTTCAGTTTTGATAGGCAGTAGTGCTCAAAGGAAAAATAGTGCTGTAAGGTTATGTTTTAGTATATGTGGAGGAAGCACCAAGGGTGTAGTTACAGATGGTTAAAACAATTTGCTGCTGTGGAAAAGGGTGAGGAGTTGAGCAAATATTAAATCAGATTTATTATCTCAGAAACCCAAATAGTATATATGGGAACTGAACTAATGTATATGTGTATATTTAGTAATATACAGTGACACATCACCATGTTGGTAACATATTTTTATATATACATAAGGCAGTGGAAATTTTTGGTGTTTATGCATTGATAGGAATATTCATCACATGCATTAAAACATTTGAAAGCTCATTCCAAAGTAGCATCTATTGCATGATTCTGTAGGCAGATTTTTCTTTCCTACCCACTAGTTCCCAAATAACCAACACAGAGACTCAGTATTAATTATAAATGATCGGCTGATAGCTCAGGCTTGTTACCAGCTAATTTTTACAACTTAAATTAACCCATTTCTAGTCCTTTACTTGCTGCCTTGTAGCTCATTGCTTGTTACCTCATTTTGTACACATCCTGCTTCCCCTGTGGTGTGGCTAGCAATTCCTCTGGCTCCACCCTTCTTTCCCAGTGTCCTTAGTCTGATTTTCCTGGCTAACCTTATCCTGTCCAACTATTGGCCAATCATCTTCTTTATTAAACTGATCACAGTATAATTTTCACAGTGTACAGAAGCATTCCACAGCATGATTCCATTAGTAAGCAGAAGATGGCAGCACATGGGCTTTTGTTACATTTGAGTTAGGGAAACTTTCTTGTTTCTGGGATTCTTTCAGCTTCTCTGGGAAAGTTTTAAATACAGCCAGGTGTCCAGATTGGATGTCCATTTGTTTTCAGTAGTGTCCTTGGCAGGGAAAAGTGGTGGCATGTACCTGTCCTCAAGCACCACGATGGCCTGGCAGACACTGGGGAGACCATTGGTTATGCTGCACTTTCCCTTGTGGTTTCAGAAGAGAAGTGCACAGAAGCAGGTCAGGTGTTGGCTGGTTCTTTCTGTCCCCATCTTTTACTCTTCTAAGTCACACATTAACTTGTATCTACATGGCTTGAAAAGTGAGTGTGTAGCTGAGTCTGCGAAACAGAGTGGAAGAGGGAGGGATGAGTAGCTGGCAGTGAGGAGAGTCACTGTGATTAGTTGAGATGCCTTTCAACCATAGTGGGCCATTTGTTGCTGGCTAGCTCACCTGCGGCAGTCTTATATAGAAAACAGACCACGCACTTTACTATTAAGTAAGAAAACAAGAGCTTGCCTGGGAATGGGCAGAGCCTCTGGTCAAACCTCCTGTCCCTGATCTTGGGCAGCTCTTCCTTCTCCATGTTTTAGCAGAGCTGCTCCTGCACAGCAACGTGTTGCCAAAATTGTCTTCATCCCCCTTTGTTTACCTCTGCTGATCCAGAGCTTAGACATGAAGCCTTTAGCCACACTGTAATTGATCTACAAATATTTGGAATGTGCACAAGGATGTGTATAAAACATAGCATTAATGTACGTGAATGGGCTAATATTCATGGCACCAGAACTGTCCTACCTCCTAAAATAAGTAGTCAATGGGCTTGTGAGATGCTCAGAGAACCTTTATGGTGAAGGAGAGAACTGGCACTTCAGATGTGCTCTGACCCCCACATTGCCCATAGCACACCTCCCCCGAGTAAATAAATGTCACGATTAGACAGTTAGGTAAAGATGGTGAGCCAGCTTTAGGAAATGTTAATGGAATAAATATGCTAATGTAGTATATATGGATCATTTTCCATACAAATTCTTTAATATAAAATTCAGCAAAAAATAGTACATTAATCCTTTAGAAATTTTAATATCACTTTGTTGTTGTTTGTTTTAAACAGGCCATATACTCCTATGAAGGGAGAGCTCTCCAATGTGTGGTTTGACAGATTTAAAATATCTAATGACAGCCCGGAACACCTTGAGTCAATTGATAGAATGTGTCAAGTGCTCACTGAATTGATTGATGATGAAGTAAAAAATGGCATCCAGAAGAGCAGGATATTAGTAGGTGAGGTCTTTATAACACTGGTAATGTATTTCACTTTTGTCTAATTACATTTCTTGAGTTATATTTGTAACATTGTTTACAAGTACGTGAATATTGCTTGACGCGTTCACAGTTTTGGATAAGCTACATGTGCAGCTTTCAGAAATATTAGAGTCATAAACAACAGCTCATGAAACTTTCATTGATTTTCATTTTTAATAAGAACTCTTTTTTGGCTTGTTTATTTGCTTTAGACAAGGCATTGCTATATAGCCAAGACCGACCTCAAAGTTCCGTTTTTCCTGCCCCCACCTCCCAAGCACTGGGCTACAGGAATGCATCATCATGCCCTATCTATTGTGCCATTGTTTCAATGATAAATAATTTTCTACTTTAATTTCAACTGAGATTATCCATTGTAATGAAAAAAAATACTTCTTTCATGTAGCTGGGGTCTTACGAATATAAAATTAAACTGCCCTTACCATGATTGAAATAGTGTACATGGTGAGAATGTGCTGTCAAATTCATGAGCAGCAAGTCTTTTGAGTGAGTTTCACAAAACTAAAACATCGATAACCGTGTGTTAAACATGTCACAGTGAGCCCTGTTCCCAAGGGCATTTAAAGCTTTGTGTAAATTATGTATTGAATTCTTCTTTGGCTGAACTCATCAAATGCATAAACTAGCAAAATTTCTATGTAATATATACAAATACTAGATGAGATTTGGAGGATGGCAGTAGTACAGAATGCTTTGGTTGTGCAAACTTTTAACAGCTGTATCTGATGATGAAATTATAATGTAAATTAAATATCTCCATCATGTGCTAAATCGCATTAAAATATACTCAGAAATCTTCTAGAGACTGGATTAAAGGACATTTTGAGTGCTATAGAGCTGCTTGGTGCTCACTGCAGTACTGAACTGTTCAGTGAGTTACCTAGGTCTCTCCTTTTCACTGTTCAGTGACCGTTTAAACACAAAATACTGCAAAATATCTTTCTGCTAGCTTTACTCTATCTAATGTGCCTGTTAGAATATATAGCTACTGTTGAAATCTGTGCATTCACGTGTGTGTGTGTATGTGTGTGTGTGTGTGTGTGCGCGCGCGCGCGCGCACGCGCACACACTCCATATTGAAAAATGAAAGTTACATTATCAAAGCAAATAGTTGCAAAGTAGAACAACTGTAAGATTTTAAGGGAATCGAAGGAAAGTACGAGGTACAAAATGGTTTCCTTATTCTTCTGTGTAATAATGACCAGAGTTCTGACGTACTGTGAGATAATGTGTGCTAATGGGACCGTGTCTCTGAGATTATAAGTACAACCATTGAAACTTTGTAAAGGATGCTGCTTCAGATCTGATGCAGGTGACAACACATCCTTTCCCTGTGTGTTAATTCAATAGCTGCTATTTTATTGTGTCACACTCAGTTAGAAATAGTTTTTCATATTATACGTGATCTGCCACCTCTTCCAGGGACTCTGTCTTACACTAAGGTATTTAGACTAACTTGTATGTCTAAGTTGTTCATAAAACTTAGGTGTTGGAGTAGTAGAATTTCTCAAAAACTCCAATAGGATAGGAACTGAAGTCAGACATTCTAATGTAGAAGTATTGTTGGAGAAATGATTGGAATATGTGGGACAGATAGTATGGAGAGAGCAAATAGATCTTAGGGTAACCCCCAAGAGGACTTCTTCCTCAGAATTATAACCCTCCAGCTGATCTTAAAGCATGGAAAGAATTTGATAAAGTGAGAGGAAAACCTGTCTGTGGAAGAAAGCAAGGGGCTCATTGCATCCTCTCAGGAAATAGTATTTTGGCATACACCTCAGTACTTAGCATCACCAAATTTCACAGAGAACAGGTGGTGTGATGGGATGTTCACTTCACAAAGACACCAACCATGCTGTGGAGGTGACATGTGAAGCTCACTAGGACAGCAGGAAGGCAAACATAACAGATAAGGTGATTCATGGAACAATAAACTGACTCTAAGATGTGGAGAAGACAGAAATAAGATGGTTCCAAAAAAGAGTATAGCCAACTGTGAAGCAGGCTACAAAAAATGCATTTTCCAAGTCCTATGCGAAGGACTCACATTGTTCTCTTGATAGAAAACATTAATAAGCTTCTGTTGTAAAGGAAGAATGAGGCAAACATTTTGCTGGGGTACACATCTGATACACAGGAAGTCAGTGCAAGAGATATTCATGAATCCTTGTTGGGTGTGCTAAGAATATAAGACAATGTTTACTTTACTTGTTTTTTGCATTATTTACACACCACATGAGTCTATAAAAGTTCTGATAAAACTTAGAAGAAACACAGTCATGCAATTACTAACTTTCCAATTACTTTCTGGAAGTTGACCAGATAGTCCCTGGTAGAGGCAGTGCTGAATCCTGTACTGTGAGGAAACTGAGCAGTATGAGATTGGCCTGTGTTCTAGCTTTCTTATACATTCATTGTGAGTGCCCATGTGTAAAATAGGAGCACATTTCATAGCCATTGCATACCTCTTAAGTTTACTTCATGAACTTCTGTAGCTGGAAGGTTCCTCTGGTCCTGCCCAGTCCTGCGGTCAGAGCAAATCTCTCCCACCCCACATCCCGCAGCCGCTTGGTCCCAAGTTAACACATAGAAGCTTAATATTATTTACAAACTGTATGGCCTATGGCATGCTTCTTGCTAGCTAGATCTTATAACTTAACCCATTTCTATTACTCTGTGTTTTGCCACGTGTTCCATGGCTTTACCAGTCTGCTGGCATGTTGCTTCTCCTTTGGCAGCAGCTAGTGTCTCCAGACTCTGACTTTCTCTTTCCTGTCTTTCTCCTTGAATTTCCCACCTGCCTCTAAGCTGCCTTGCCATAGGCCAAAGCAGCTTATTTATTAATCAATCATAGCAACACATATTCACAGCATACAGAAAGACATCCCACAGCACTATGTAAAATATGAGCACATTTCATAGCCAGTGCATACCTCTCGGGTTTCCTTCATGGACTTCTGTATATTTTTATTTAAGAAGAGAAATAAAAATGGAGAGTGAGAGGCTCCAGTGTGCACTGTTGTGCTGGGAAAGCCTAGAAATGATGGTAATGCTCTCCCACTAGCTGACACTTGGCTCATAGCAGCCATTCTATATCCATGTTCTGTTTGGAAAGGGTTGAAATCATAAGCTTCTCTTCCTTATACAGCTGTCCCACTTGAGCCTTGCAATGAGAAAGGTAGGATATAATTATTTTCATTCCACCAATAAAGGGACTACAGTTCAGAAGTTATGGGTGGCACGGCAGGAGCCTAGAACCCAAGCCCCTTGGTTTAGTCAAGAACTTTCTGCCAGGATCAGGATCCATTCATGGCCACTAGGTGGTGACAACTTGTTAAGAGAGAATATTGATATAATTTAGGTTCAGTTTTGATCTAGGATGTATAGAATCTGACACCAGAATTTTGATAATATAGGTATATGATCCAAATTTTGCAATGGGGGGAGCAAGTGTTTATAGGACCACATTTATGTCACATGGGTGACCTACATATTCATCATGAAGGGCTCATCTTTAAAGTAATCATGGTCTATTCATAAAACTGCATGTTATATAGCCATTAAATTCAATGTCTACACATAGAAGGCATTCAGTGTTTATCTATTTTTAAATTTAGTTCTTAACTTTCATGTTTTGAAACCCATGGAAAGACTTTTCATAGGAGGGATCCATGTGAGAAAGCAAGGTACAATATGGATTAGTTCAATTGTTAAAACAAAACTTTGAAAACCTGCTAAAGGGCTCTAGATACTAAGAATCTCAGGATTGGTTTCCTTTATTTGCTTTATCTATAGAGGAAACACTACAGAATGGGCATGTGTTAATATAGTGACATGATAGGATTTAAAATAAAAGTAAGCAAGGGGGCATCTGGAACTCACAAGATGCAGCCGTTTGCTGAACCCTCAGGTCCTGCCTGGAGCTGACATGTGGAATGATGCCATTGTTCTCTCTATGTATATGTGCAAATAAATGTATTTTTACTAATTAAAAACAACTCAGGATTCTTTCAGCAATGCTTACCAGGCCTCCAAAGGCTTGGTTGGGACTGTTGTCCTAACACCTTTCCATAAAATAGTAGAAATATTGTAACTTGCAAACTTTATGGGAGAGGAAAGCAGAAATAAACATGGTAACCATGAGTTGTCTATCCCCAGATCTTTTGAGCCTTTTCTCAAGTCTGAAGAGCACTAGAGTACCATGTAAATGAAGTAGAGGGACTGAAATTTGGGGTGCTGGTGGATTTTATTACCTTTTTTTTTTAAAAAAAAATCTGTTCCCTTGATAACAAACTTCATATTTTTGTCCTTAGGAATTTGCATTGAAATAGAACACGTTAATTTTCCCAGTATAGATTTTTTTTATAGATTGTTTCTGTTTTATTTTATATAAGGAGTTCATAAAGCCAAGTTTATTATTTTTTAACATGTTTTATTCAGCTTGTTAATCTTAAGTATATGTTAAATTGTTACCTCTTACTACTTTAAATACTTCACCAGCAACTATAAATGCCCACCATAACCATTACCTACAGTGAATTTACTATTTTCTGTTTACTTACTGAGTAGGATATTGTGAGCTGGAGTTTAGACTCCTAGATGAAAAATTGACTCAAATAACTGGACCTTTGTGTTCAGTTTTCTCCTTTGAGGGAAAATATACAAAGTTCCTTTTCACAGTGTCCCCTGCTAGAGGTGACAGTGTTGTCAAAGCCAGCAAGTGGGGAGCTATGCTTACCTCAAAGGACAGTAAATGGATTAGAGACTTAAAATGGGATCATAGTAAGATTTCAGGATGCACATGTTCTCTGTTGTGATGTATATAAACACAAGGCTAAATGCCTATAGGAAATCTTTATGTGTTTTCTTTTCTCTCTTTTTTCTTTTTCTTCTCATCTCTTTCCCCACCCCAAGCCCTCTCTCTTACTTCATTGTTTTCTTTCTCCAGCTAGTCTCAT